CCAACTATTGCTTGAGAGAAAGAAAAGAATGAATGCGCACGCTTTTATATTATGTTATCGAATCGGCGTGCGCTGTGGGTTACCTGTGGTATTACGTCAGGATCGCGCGCCTCGCGGGATGCAAACTAGTCTGTGACAAGGTATGAAACACTGGTCACGTGACAAATATAATTTTGCTCCTATTTCGCTGAAAAACTGAAAAAACGACAATTTTCTTTCAAATAACAATACATCGCCAGATTTCCTAACTATCTCATGATTTTTAGTCTGAAATTTTTATTACATGAGGAGAAAATGAACGTTAAGCATTTTACTCGTCGTGGACCGATGTGTGCCCCAGGCAGCTGGGCATAAGATCTGAAACTATTGCGTCATCATCGGAAACCKAGCGRACKTCCAACTCGTGAGATTGTCGAGAACTATCGTGAACCATCGACACTTTCACGGAGTATTTTCGTAATTCCCGAAGTATGTAGCTTTTACATCAGGAGGGAGGGATAGACACGCATGCTGGTGCACACATCGATCCATCACGTGACCAGTGTTTCATACCTTGTCACAGACTTGTTTGAATCCCGCGAGGCGCAAGGAACCGTCAAGAAGACTATTGCACGCTCTTGCTGGTTACGGTCCGGTCCGCTCGTAAGTAAGGGAGACAAAAAATGAGCTATTTTCTGGCTTTGCGTTGGCTGCAGTAAAAATTGTCCTATTAAGTTAATTACGTACGATAACCTTCTTGGCGCGATCGTGATGGTGAGCACCGTGAAGAAATGCCTTTTTGATTGTCTTTCATCAATTTCTTTATTAAAAAAGAGAGAATGACAAAAAGAGGTGATTGAMTTGATATTTGATACGGTCTGTGTACTTCATTTTGGCCAGTTTAATTTATAGTGTTTTTGTTTAAATGTTAAACAAAAAATCTGTTTGCTACACCACCAAAGAAGAGTTCACGTTTTGGGTTGAGCTTTGTTGTTTTTGGTTTGAGCTTTGTTCACTGTAAGTGGATTCAAGGTCAAAACGGGTTACTTTCCTGCCACTGTATTCACTGTATGTTGACTCTCTATCATGACTCCACACAAAAGGATTTCTCCGGAACTCGTCCGCGTCCGATTCTTCATCTTTTTCATCGTTTTTCCCTTCGTAAAGCAAGACTAGGAGCCTGTAGAACAGCACGGACAACGCCATCGCGTTTTTACCAGTGAAAAATAAGTGTGTTCCGTTCGTAACGTTGTATTTTATGATCATTATGAGACGAACAACAAGGAACGGCCCATCTTGCATAATCATAATAGTCAATATTGAATATAAATCACCATGAAAGCGAAGCTTTTCCTTTTCCTTAATAACTTCTTCAATTACTTCTTCTTCGATTTTTCTTTCGCGTTGTGCTTCAACGACTCCTTGGACTGTTTCATGCATAGAGTAACGATGTTTTCGCTTACGTTCTTTTCGTTTCGGTGCTTCAACCGGTGAGCCAAAGACTTTGTTGATGTTCTTTTCAAACTTTTCCAAATCGCGCTGCTGTTTTTGGTGTATTAGCCTTTTTATGTATTTTGGTAGTCTTTTCTCTCTACCAGCTCGTTTGGTTTTTTGTTTGTTTTGTTCGTTCATCGTTTTCAATGCTTCGTTCATCTTGATACAAAAAAAAAAACAACAAAAAAAAACATCAAAAACAACAACAACATATATATTAATGTTTTCCGGCTTTTCATGCGTACTGTCATTGATGATAATAAATGTTTATTTAGTGTTGTGTGTTATGTTGTTATTGTTGTTAGCTATGAGGTATA